AATTACCATTCCCGTCGTTTTTCGTTTATTCTTTTCTAGGAGTTTATAATCTCGAATCTTACGTATTTTTACCTCGTTTCAGAGTTAAAAACTTCAATATTTTCCAGAGAGTCAATATTTTTTTTATTTCTCCGGGGATAAGTTGGCAGAATACCTACCTTCTTTGCTGCATAGGCGAGTATACACAAGCGAAATGCTTCTTCATTTACTCCTATATGTATGGGCGTGGGTTCAATCATATTTCTTAGTTCGAGTGATTTTCAGAGCTTTATACAACTTGATTTAGCATTATAGAGTAATAAGAAGGGATAAGGAATGTCATTATTGTTCGCTTAACTTGTTTCCTTGATGAGTTGTGGCTTTGTGTCTAATTACTTAAGCGTAACATGCCAGCGAAATTTTAATTTATCTTGACAGCAGTTTAATGCTAGAATAACGCAACTTACCTTATTGGCAGAGGGTGCAGTATATAGAAATTTGTTCAAGATAGAACTCCAAGAATGGCTAAGATGCACGGCCAAACCTACCATATAATCATTGAGTTTGCAACTGAATAAAAGGTTAAATCTTGATCATCATAGAAAATTTATTTTCTCATTCTTCTTATATGGTACTAATGACTTTGTCTCCAATGTGTCCTTCGCGGCAGTGCTTTTAGCTGATCCGGACTTCAATCTTCTTAGAATCTTCTTATAAAGTTTGCTCTTTACCAGATTTATACAACTCCAAGTATTTATACGAATTTGCTGATGATATTATTTTATAAAGCTTTTAAGATGGAGTCACTTAATTAATTTTTAATCTCAAAACTCTTAAAGATAACATTGAAGTATTTTATAAAATTATGCTGTTGAAAGCCTTTCACTTTTCCTTTCTGACATGTTCCTTCTTTCTCTATCACGACATTCGGCACCTAGTTTCCTTTCCCTTCTATTCACATTTTCCGACTGTCTGCATCGTCGTCTCCTCTGTTTGACGGATGCAGAAATTTGCGGTGTCAACTCATCTGGTGGCCTTCATCCCTTCTCTACATCTATCTCTCAGCCCACCCAACGGTTCTCAAATTCCGTTTCATCTTCCTTACCCAGCCAAGATCCTCCTAGTTCTTCTAAAATCGACCAGTCATATCCTTCAGCCTTGCCTAGTATGTCCGCTGGACTCGCTGCTTCTGCTCAAGCGTCTGCCACCAATGCAACGGCTTACATTGGTGCTTCTAATGTTACCTCGGCATCATCCAATCTGACCTGTGGCTTTCAAGCCGCCGAGTTGCGCTGCCTCGGTGCTCGCTTGCGCGACCTAATGCTCGGCTTGGTTGAATTGGCACACCCCGAACAGATAGCTGCTTTGGAAATTTTTTCGCGAGGCATTCCCATCTCTCGTTATGGGGGACAACGGAAATTATCACGGTTAAGACCACGGCCTATTACCGACATAAAACAGCCCGCTGTAAAGGAGACTACGTTGGGTGGGGCAGCTGATGTAAATGATGAAGAATATTGGAAGGAGGAGGAGGGTGAAAAAGATGGAGGGGAGTGGGCTGAGTCAGATGTGATGGCAATGGATTTAGGTCTGGAAGGTATTTCTCTGGTGACTGTCACCCATTCTCCTGATTTAATTTTTTACCATTTTTTTCTGATGTATGAACTTTCCTGTTGTACACATTTATCGTTTCTGGTTCTGTGGTTATGCCAGCAATTGCTATTTTGGCAGAGCAATACTAGCAACAATAGTTTGATATGATATGAATAAAAAATTGGTAGAAATATTGACTGATCTACTACTTGGAAATTTCAGTCCTCTCCATCTCAGAAGTGATTCTTTAACTAACCGGATAAATTCATAAGATTTAGTCAGCTTCGACTATCCCCTCTTTGGCAACCAAATATTTTTTACTCATTCTTGGCTTATCCCAATATTAATCTCTCCTAGATTAAGACCTACAACATTTTGACTAAAAAAGCCTGAATGTAATCGTAGTTTACTATTAAAAATTGAATCGTTTTTATACTTTCTTGTACGACAATCCATTCCGATGGTTGTGCCTTATTTGTCTCGTGAAACATCATCGAGTAACTTATAGCATCCACCCTTTCATTTTTACTTCCAGAAGAGAACGTTTCTTCGAATATTCATGACCCTCATAATCTTAGAGCTATTCTTCAGCGAGTTCAACAGATTGCCGAAGTCTCAGAGACTCGTGGTGTAGCTGCAGCCGCTGCGTTGGGTTTTGCGGCAACTGGGTCTGGGAAGCAGGGTCATTTTGGCTATATTAGTCGGGTAAGAATAATGTTTTTATTGTAGTTAGGCTTGTTTCGAGTTATCTCTATGTGATTTTCCTGACGGTTGATGATAAGTGTTAATGATCTTAAGAAAGGTTGTACCCTTTGACTTTTTTAATAGGGCCATATTTTTATTTACCGAACTCACGTGCTTTTTATACGTGCTATAACCCACATGTTAAGTCTATTTAGATGAGTAAGAGAGGCGTCAGTGCAGATTGGAAATTGTAATACTATTTCACTGAAATTTCCAGGCCGGCTGGGTAATGCAAACCATATTTAATTTATCTTGTACCTTATTAACGCTTATTGGCTATTGCGTAGAGCGGAAATTTTTTACGTGCCAGCTTTTCATAACCTTCTTAATCTATTTTATTTTATCAGAATTCTTCAGCGGCTGTTGATCTACGCATTCAGCTTTACCGATGGAGTGAGCTTTTTCGTCGAATGCAGCGTCTTGTCGTTCAGATCTACGACTGGGATCGACGTTGTCGGCGACAACTTATCTGGATTTCAAATGAAGATGAAGCAGTTTCAAGACAGGCTTGCCTATCAGAAGGTGCGTTGATCTTTACCCATTATTATCTAGGCCATCACTATAGTTACTGCCTATAATATTAGGGCTATCTGTTACATCTTTTATAGCCTAATAAGTTGAGTAAAAATGCTAATACGGATGGCGAATTTATATTTTTGCACAAGGTAACCATGTTCAAAATGTTGAAGTAGCGTTAACAATTTAACGATATGATTTCAA